CAATCTCCAGGTTACCCCATTTTCAGACCCACATGAATGGTTCCGATATTTTATAACAATGGATTCGTTTTCTTTGGAAAATCTACGTATGCTTGAAAGAAACCATGGTTCAAAACCACCCCAGCAATTTGTCCAACCAATTCCGAGGAATTTCCAGGAGCCCATCTACAAATGTCTGAATGCAGTGTTTCCGACATCTTTTCAGTGGGCATCCGGACACATGATGCTCATCTGACCTTGGTTGGGCTGCAATTTTGGGGGACAATCTACTGTCGCAAATTCTTGAGTTATATATATATATATGACTTACCTACATGACTATATAACTCACATAATATATATATGTTATATAGTATAACAACATGTTTTTTTTGGGGGTTATTAATTTACCTACATGCCTCCAATGATCTCCAATGTATAAAGACTTCGCGAAGTGCGAAATGATTGGAACATATTGAAATCCAATTGAAATCCCAGAAAGAGACTGGTACAAACAGCGAAGTTTTCTACCAGCGAGCCAGTCGCTGTCACCAAAATGTTCTCCCACTCCTCGAGCCATTGGAATCGGCCACCTCTGTCTGAAAACGAGTACACTGAGGGATTGAAGACCTCCAGCGATTTTCAGAAATGGTGGCTGGAACTTGTTTTCTACCGCACCAATGATTCACCAAGTCCAATTCTTCCCATTCGACCACCAATCTCTGTGATTTTTCAGGATCCCTCCCAAGAACTGGATTCCAAGCCACTGGCTGACCTGACACACGACATTGGGGTGACTCACGACTGGGGTTCGTTGATCTTTTTCTTGTGGGATGATCTGTACAAAAAGATGCCTTTGATGAAGATATATGAAGTACATATAGAGTGTAACAAAGGTTCCATAATTTATGAAGTCTTCAAAACACTTGGCACATTCTTGACACGAGGAGTCAGTGTAGAATCGCAGCTCTCACTTGGATCCAATGATAAATCCAATGATCATCATCTTGGCTCCAATGATAAATCCAATGATCACACCGTTCAGTCTCTCACCATTCATCTTAGTGGAAAACATGAAGAACTTAGAGAAGACTGAATGGTGTGCTGGCGACATCTCTTGACGCTGACCTCTGAAGGATCTCCGCCTTGTGCGAAGCTAGTGAGATGGGGGTTGAAGCACGGGGAACAATTTTCTTTTGTGCCAGCATGAACTCCTTAATGATTCAATGAATATGCAAACAACAGATTTATTGATTCATGAAGCTTTGATATATTTTGATATTATGATTCCCTGAACTTTACCCGGTAAGTACTTGATTCATTGTGATCTTGTCGCTCTTGTCCGGTCAAATTGATCAAATCTCCATATCCCATCATGTCCCACCTATCACCGGTCCCAGAATGGGGTGACGTCGTAACCAAGGAGACCTCGGTGATGTCAACTTCGGCACATCTGTGAATCTCGTGGTCTCCATCTTTTCCAACATTGGCTTTCACGAATGGTGTATCAAATCTGAATGCATCTAATCTGGTTGGTGGTGATTGAACCTACCCCTCTGAAAAATAATGGAGTGAAAGTCAGTTGGGATTATGACATTCCCAACTGAATGAAAAAATAACAAATGTTCCAAACCACCAACCAGTGATCCTCCGCAGCAATCCTTCCCCCTTTCCGGCCAAAAGGCGGGTATTTCAAGCGTCCATTGAAGACCTTGATGCAGGGCAGATATTTGTGAAGAAAAATTGGGGTTTCCATAAATGGGGGTACCGCAAAATGGATGGTTATATAATGGATGATTTAGGGGTACCCCCTTAGGAAACCTCCATATCTTAAGTGTTCTTGGCAACTAGTACTGCTCGAATCTATTTGATACAGATTCCGGTCGAAATATGTCGCTTGAAAGTGTTTCGGAAGCTCCACCAGAAACACTGGTCATTTTTTCTCACCGCTTCACTACAGTTCACTACATAATAAGTAGTTGAGTTAAGTAAGTTAAACAATTTATATCAGTTAAGTCAGTTAAGTAAGTCAAGGTACTCGTTTGGCTGCACACCACAACATACATCACTTTCACCCAATCGCTTGCTGTACAACAGCTCCCGAATTCACCCTTAATACTCGCTATCCTACCTAGATGCGTTCAACAACTCAGGAGCTATATGTCATACCCTCTGGTAAACTGACATAGCTATGGAAAATCGCCATTTTTATTTGGTAAATCAACTATAAATGACCATTTCCAATAGCTACGTTAAATTACCAGAGGGTATATGATTCATGCTGTGACTGCCATGTGCTACGTGCATCTACGTGCCTCACTGATCGCCCAGGATCTGCGTGAGAAATCCCAAACTTCCCTGCACCCTAGAGCCCTAGATCATTCGGCTCTATCAACATCAATCAACCAGTGCAAGTAACATGGTGATGGGTCAAAATTAGGTACCCCAAAATTATGGATGGTTAATACTAAACTAGACTAACATCTGTGGTCCCCTAGGTCTTCCATTTTGACCCGCATCCACATCAAGTAACATCACTTCTGTGTGGTTTTGCAAAAAAGTAAAATAACAGATCCAGTCAGATCATCTCAGATCAATTACCCTCTGGGAATGACTAACATAGCTATGGAAAATGACCATTTATAGTGAGTTTTCCCATTAAAAATGGTGATTTTCCATGGTTATGTTAAATAACCAGAGGGTATCCCCGAAATAGGCAGTGTCTCATCCTTTCGACAAATTTTTGCACTGTCTCATCTGGTGGAAAGATGTCGGATCTTGTGGATCAGCCACAAAGAAAAACACCATCATTGAAAGCTCCTTGCCGCGCCTTTATGATATCCTAAAAGGCGTTTTTAAAAAAGAGAGTCCAGGTTCACAAAAAACCGGGGAAAAAACCCGGAAAAACCTCTCCGAGATATATTTCTTGGGATTTTCATGCAATCGATGAGCGAAAATCAGCTCATGTTCGCCAACGCGGCGGATGTTCGCCATGCCCAATGTCCGCCTGAGGGGATGAAGTGTGGACTTCCTCAGTGCACTTCACCAAGTTTTCCACATAAGTTGAGACGGATTCTCGTCTTGGGAGCAATTTCGAAGCTGAGACATAGATTGTCATAGTCCTTGGGTCCGACTGGGTCCGACTGGGTCCGACTGGGTCCTTATCATGATCTGATAAAGTGCCTGAGTGTCCCGACTAAAGCCTCATTCTTCCCATTCAATGCCTATATCAATTGCGGGAAACTGTCGAGGATCAACTGTCGACTGGAAGCGGCTGAGGTGACTGAGGTGCACGTATAAATGAGTTTAGTCTCAAAATGGATCAAAATGGGAGATATATGATATACCGACATTAATATCCATGACATATCCATGACATATCCGACATACCAAACAAAATCAAAGTCAAGATATGTCAAGATCAATGGAATCAATGGATCATCGCATTGGGATATTTAAGCGATGACATGTCTGACTTTGGCATTGGATTCTCTTGAAAATGAGTTAAAATACCCTCTGGTTATGACTAACATAGCTATTGAAAATGGCCATAGAAATAGTGGATTTTCCCATGAAAAATAGTGATTTTCCATAGTTTTTTGTATGTTTACCAGAGGCTAACCCCGTTTTCGTTTCGCACCACCTCCCAGGTGTTGTGGTTAGCCTCCAGGTCCTGGCGATGTTCGGACAAGCCTGGTAGCCTTAAGTGAAGCCTATAGTGGAAATGATGGTAAATAGCTGGCAAATGATGGTAAATAGCTGGTAAATGATGGTAATTTCACAGTTAGCTATTGAAAATGACCATTTATATCCATAGAAATAGTGGATTTACCTATTAAACATGGTGATTTTCCATAGTTTTTTGTATGTTTACCAGAGGGTAAATGATGGTAGTTATGGATGTTCATCCCCCCAAATAAATTGCAAGATAGCTTTTGAATGGTTTTGCTACATCCCCATGGAAATACATATGGAACACGTGTTTTGTTTTCTATGGCCCAAGTTGCTGTAAGTTGATATTAATGAGGAAATTCAAATACTGACAATGCAGTCTGTATTGAGAATCAATGCCACCAAATTTGATCAACATTGTCTGTTTCATGTTTTCGCAGCAAGCATGAACATAATTAGGCTGAAGTGCAAGCTACACAATTGAAATTGCGAAACTTGGGAGTATTGTCCCTGTAATGATGAATATATACTTGTTTCGACAACAAAGTAACAACAGTGATGTGTTCAACTGCAAGTCGACTGTTTGTGCTACTGCTGATTCACTCTGGTTCTCAGTGTGGCAAAATGGAGTATCCTCATTTTTCTTACCCTCTGGTAATTTAACATAGCTATAGAAAATCACCATTTTTAATGGGAAAATCCACTATAAATGACCATGTTCAATAGCAAACTGTTAGTTTACCAGAGGGAAATTTTCTTGCGCTAAATATCTCTAAATTTTTCGGCCCAGCCACCAAGGATTGTAGCACCATGTGAGCTGTTTCATGAAGCTTCTGGATGTCCGATGCCTGGGCGATGATCCTAATGAAAACCATTAGGGAAACCATGTGACGATGGCTCGTCAGAATTGGATACCCCAATACTTGGATAGCCAAAATACTATAGATTAACTAATGATCTATCATTTGGTGACTATTAATGATGGATTAACTGTCAATGATGGATTCTGGGTAAATTATAATATTTCACTCACCTGAATCTTGCGGCCATTTGGGGATGATTTCCCTTTTAAATCATGATTCCAGTGAGGGAGAACAGTGAGGTCGTTATAATTTACCCAGAATAATCAAATATGAAAAACATCGACTAAAATCTCTGACCCAGGTCCTGAATCCACACTTTGAACAAACACGATCGAACTTTGAGCCGTTTCTGAGGAGATTCAACAAACCAGGCGGCCAGCCAACACACCAGACATGGGCTTTTTTTTTCATAAAAAGTCATACCATGATAAAATCAGAGATTATCAGAGTACAAATTATGTTTGTTTAGGTTTTTTTTGATATTTGCGTCACTCCTGAATTATCAGAGAGGTTGACAGTAGACTCAGTAGACGCTCAAAATGGCGACTTTTCTGCCCCGACTTGGCGACTGGCTCTGAAGATCTCTGATCTCTGATCTCTGAAGCTTTGCAGAGTTCATAGAGACAAATCGCCCCTGTTGCGGCCACATTCAAACATTGGCCGCGCTCTTGTGGCACACGAAGCCCCTCACAAAGCTCCAGTGCTTCAGGAGTCCTTGGAGATTGCAAAAAAAAAAGCTCAGGAAATGTTCACCTCGTTTTATGTAATGTAATGATCATGTCATGTCATGTCATGTATTCTTGGTATGTTCTTGGAATGATGTTGAAGAGCCCTGCTCGAAACATGTAACTTGATGTGATTTGGGGGTGGTTTATTAATGTATATTAGGATTTTCCACATCATCCTGTAAAATTGAATAAAATTGATATGATCGCACCTCATGTGTGAGAAGACATGACCAGAGCTCAAGACCCCCCTGGTAACCAAGCAAGGCAGTGAAGAAAATCAAGTTCAACATCACAGGTCAAAGTCAAGCCAAAAGTTGAGACTAAAGTGGACACTCGCCCTTGTACAATCAAGATGCTTGCGCACACATAATAAGCTCAAACAGAAAGCGGTTACCCTCTGGTAAACGTTTACATAACTATGGAACATCAAACATACAAAACACTATGGCAAATCATCATTTTTAATGGGACAACTCACTATTTCTATGGCCATTTTCAAGTTCGCAAACTGTAAACGTTTACCAGGCCGGGTCAAAAATCGGGACATCTGCAGATCGAGGCTCACTCCTCGATCCTCTGATCCCAGAACGAGGGCCCAGTTTCTATCGTTGATCGACACCTGGTGTTCCATGCTAGCCGCGAACGGCCAGCCGCGAACCGCCAACAGATCGACCACTAAAAAGCATCCAATCATCCCTTGATCTCTTCATGATGTCACTAAGGGGTGAAAAAGTTCGGTCATGTTTTTTTTTTGTGCATCTTGTGCATCTTGTGCTTATGTGCACTGTTTAACAACTCCTACACCAAAACATCACCTCACTAGGACCGCCCTAAGGTGGCCATCGGGCATCCTGTGAGATCCAAAGCGCCTCGCTGACCTTTTGGTCGCAAAACTCTTCTGCTGCAAACAGCCTCACCTGGGACGAAGGATGCTACTCCAACCCTTCAACCAGTGGATCCAATGGGCACATTTAGACTTTAGGAAAAACCATTAGAAAAACACCAAAATAACATGAAACAACTATAATAATTTATAGTAACTACCTGGAGTCTCCACTACCCTTCGTTTTTGGGGTCGTTTGCAAAACACCTCTTTTTTGGGTACGTTTGATACTTTTTGGGGTCGTTTCATGCAAAAAAGGCCTTTTATCTTCCAAGCAGGTGCTGGCTATATACACTAAGCATTACTAAGCTAAATCATGTGAGCGTTTTGTTCTTGTCCTGTGTAATGTTGGATCAGGCACCCTCACACATCATTCAGACCCAGGCGCATAACTAAAACTTCATGGCTGAAAAGCTTTGGATCCACAATTCGTGTCGAAATATAAAACCTTCGCCTGCTTTTGATCATGAGCTGCGGGGGCAAACATTTGCACATTGCGACACTTATGCGAAAATATACACGGGGTTTGAGCACATCCACTCGCCCTGATCTTCTGGTGCCAGCTGCTGAAACAGTTTTGACGGATGGACGGACGGATGTGAAAAAAAGGTGCGTTTTTTGGAAAAAAGTCCTTTTGGTTCGGACGGTCCAAGCCGGACGGATATTTCCGTACTTTGGACGCATTTTTCCGTACTTTCGGACGCCGTCCGGACGGCCCTCAGCAAAAAAAGGTACGTTTGAAGAAAAAAGACCTTTGCATGTTTGCGTTGTATGGGCAAATCTTCCAAGGACAAGTTGTCACCAAACTTGAGCAATTCACCCGCGTGTCCGCAACTAAGTGTTGAGACCTACCCTCATGCGTGCAATAGTGAAAGAGCAAAGCGCGTCCAAAACCCAAAGCAAGCAAGATCGAAACCATGGCATCAAACACGTAAACGAGAACCAATAGTTTGGAAATCTTTGCTCCTGCACCTTCAAGCAGCCAAAACAAAAATGGCACCTGCAACAATGAGTTGCAAGTTGGATCAAGTTGGCAATGTGGCACATTTATTTGATTTCCACAGTTTCAGCTGTACCTCCATGAGTGAACATCACTAACATGCAAAAAACAGTACTTGATTTCAAAAAAAGTACTTTCGGAAAAAAATGCAATTTTTCTTGAAAGACCCCAAAGATTAAGGGTCGTTGGAGAGTCAAGGTATATACAATACTATACATTCGAATCAATGATTGAATTGACTAAGCAAATCCGAGGTGTCAGGTCGCTCCTGCAGGCATCTCAAAGCACTCAGCACACCTCCACATTTCTTCGCAGCGTAGTGGACATCGCAGAAGTAGGCTTGGCCCTCGCTGACAGCGGCCAAACGGCCGTTGAACGCCGACCAGCTGCAATCAGGAACCACCTCTGCCAGGCGTGGCCATGACTTTTCGATGGGAAAATCGGAAAACCAGGACTTTTTCCACGACTTTTACCAACAACAAATCAAGGAGTCTCAGCTGCAAATGTTGATGAAGTCTGGGATCCTTTTGGATTCTGGATAGATTCCCAGAACATGTTGACACCATCAGGAATTTCGTGAAGTCACAACTGCGGAAGTATGACTTGCATCGGCTTTGGGTGGGAAATGGTGAGAGATCCATGAGACAATTCTATGTGTTGCATTCTTTCTGTAGAGTTTCTTTTTGCAAAATACTATTCTAAACCAAACACATGACATATGTTAAATTACAAATGCGTTTCTCTCAAAATAGGTGTTCCATAAATTAATTGGTGCTGCACGATTTTCCGTGCACATTTCCATAAATTTGGGTATACCAAAGTTTCAGACACACCCAAATGAACAATGACACCCTGCTTGGCCCTGCGGCGAAAGAAGTGACTCCTAGGCATCTCGCTGTTCGGAAAAGCCTGGGTTGACATGCAGCAATACCATCCGTCAGCCTTGAACTATAGGATCTTCCTAGAGGTTTGTTGACATCAGTTGTGGATGGTTTCAAGCAATAAACACCAGGAACTTTTCAAAACACCAAACACAATTGATTCTTGCGTCACTCGTTTCTTCTTAGGTTTCTTGATCCCCTACGTCTGAAGACAAAAAACAAACGAAAGAGGTGGCGGTTTGAACATGCCCTGCATGGCTTTCAGCAAATTGCTGACCGTTGTCGATGCAGCAACATGATGTACTCCATAGCAGACTCTTCCATGCAGCATATTTAAACATATTGAAATATGGATATGGATCAATACCTATTAATACCATTTTTAGGGGGTTATTCACATCCATAAATCCCAGCTATATATTGATGTGAACTACAGGAGTACTATTGGTTTTGACACACTGCCATATGGTCCTCCCACTAGCATCACACAGAGGAACTCACAGGATCAGGATCCTGCTGCGGCAGCTTGCGGGATCTCTATAGGATCTTTGTGAAGGTCCCTTTAAAGGAACCCGCAAGATCTCAGTACACAGGATTGTCCTGGTTGTGGCTTGTGGCTTGTGGCGCTCATTTTGATCTCGCCCCTTTTCAGGTGTTCAAAACAACGCCCAAGTACACCAAATACCGCCCGTGCCAAAAAACATTGCCTCCGGCCATTCGACCCGTCTTTGCCAAACTCTTGTATAAGAAGTACTGCGCCTGCCATAGCGAGGTTTGGATATTTAAAATGCCGACTCTCCGGCACCTGCCACGCAAACCATACATGTGACATAGCTCAAAAACCGGGCACTTTTGGCACAGGAAAAAATCGACCTTCTGCGAGCAACGTGGTACAGTGAAATTTTGTGGTAGGCTGCGTAGTCAAGACAATCATCGGAATCTCGGAGTGTATTTTGTTGCGCGAGACCATCAAGGCAAAAAACTCACCATCGGCGCATTGAACCCACCGTGGGAGAAACCCTTAAGTGTGTTTTTTTTTTTGTGAATACATCCTAAACATGCCAAAACCAGCGCTACATAAATTGAAACAACTGTGAATATACCACACCCAAAAACCAACCCTACACCCCCGAAAAAACCCTGCGGGTGGTCTGAATGGCACAGTTGCGGGGTGGTGAAATTTTGTCCCCTTAAGTTGCAAAGTGCCACACAGGGATGTGAAAAATAGGCTAGCGATGGACCACAAATTTGGCCCTGTTTGGAATCACATAGTACATGATTGGGGCTGAGTAATTCTTACAATGCTTGACTTCAAGAAAATGTCAATCTCCAATCCAATAATAATAAATAGAAATAATGATAATAATATGTAAAAACACTGAAGATCCCGTACATTCGAAGAACAGGTTTCAATACATGTTTTTGTTCAAACGGAAACCAAACACCACCTCATTTTCAGAAGCAAACAGGTATGAAACGCGTTCTACAATCTAAACAGGGTTCTATAACATACTACGGACAAGGAAGCTGCTGTTTGGTTTGTTCCAGTAAGTCATGTCTGGTTTCAACTGAGCAGCAGGTCGACTTGTCACTGCTCAACGCCTTTTCTTTTCATGGGCCCGAGAAGGAAGCAATCACTATGTATTGTATACTGTATACAAACATGTTGCGTCTTTGTGGTTTCAATAAGCACATATGCACCTATCTATCTATTTATCTATCTAGCTATCTATTTATCTATTATCTATTATCTATTATCTAATCTGATCTAATCTTATCATATCTTATCTATCTATCTATATTTAAATACTAGTTAGTGTGAATGCTTGAAAAACCAAATGCACGTATGTAAAGTATATACAATGTCACAATGTATATCAAAATAGGCAAATATCTCAAATATGTAAACGCACACACCTTTTCTTATAACTTCCTAGATTTGGGCGTAAATCCAATTTCTCTGCCAACCAACTACAATGCCTTCATGCCTCGCCGCATTTGAAAAAATCGAGTGGCTGTCCCAAGTTCGTGGCTGATGTCAAACCATCTAACACCAGCAGGGGTGGAGAGAGTTCCTCCAAGGCCACGCTTGGCCATGCTACCGTATAGCGACAGCCGTAGCGAAGCTCCGCATCGGCTGAAGCATCCGAAGCACTGCGGAAGAGGCGTTTGAGAAGCCCCGGGTCTTCGATGCTGTAGACCTGACAAGCTGCGCGCCTAGGCGAAAATCATCATTCAAATGGCCGTTTTCATAGCCCATATGCTCCATGTATGGTATATTTACCTACAAAACTGGGTGATTTTTAGGGCAAATGTTGGTCAATATTCCAGCACCATGGAGCATGTGGGTAGGAATGAAATTCGAACCCCCGATTTTTTTGGCGGGGAGTAGCTACTGTCAGACATATACAAAAACTCCGCTGACTCTCATGAGTGCACAGAACTGCACGTAAAATATATATACCTAGAACATCCTAGAACCTCGAACACGGCACTTTTAGCAGAAAAAGTAGCCTTTAGCCGTACTACGGCGCAATTTGTTTGGCTACGGCATTTCTCTGTTATTCCAACGGCATTTTTGGAATTCAACTTGGACTGCATTAGTTGGGGTCTGACATCACATTGGCCAAAGATTTTGGTTCATTTCCTCACGTCCATCATTTTGGTCAAGCGTAAGTGGTTTGGCCAAACCGGTGACAGCCTGCTGTTGCAAAAAGGTTGTCAGCAGTCCATGATGCTTGCCACTAAGAATCCCAAAAATGCGTTTTAAAAAAAGTAAACAAATGCCAAAAAACACATTCCCAAGTTACGGCGCAAATTGGCGTAATTACGGCGTAAATCCCCGTACTCTATTTTACATGGGTTTTGAATGTCGTGAATCAAACTTTTGAAGGGTCTTGGCTTAAGGTTTGGGATGAACACGTTTTTTTCTCTCCCATGTATCATGGGAATCACTGGCTATGAAATGGTGGTCACGGAAGTCTGGGCCCACAAATAAAATTCAAATGGATTCAACCTGGTAAGCACTGGGGGTTGTTTTTTCAAGTCCATTCTGGAAAAGGTGACTTTTTGATAGGTGAATTGAAGAAATCTAACACATACATTGGAAAATCATGATTCACTCTCAATCTGATTGCCGGCATTTTTGCTGAGCCACGGCGTTTATTTTTCATGACAGCGTTTTCCAGAGGTGCCGACCAACATTTCAGCCACAATTTTTTCAACGGCACTTATTTCAGCCACAAGGTGGATCTAGGTATATTGTTAATGTCTTTAATCTGTGTATGATACATGCGCATAATTCCGCCGACCCCTGCTTTTGCAGTAGCAGAGGCGGCGCCCAAGCCACAAAGCCTTGCTCTTCCCATCTCTTCCCATTGCTCCGCTCTTGTTTTTTTTGGGGGTTCAGCCCTGACGCAGTGCCTTGTCGGGTACAGTGGGTTTGGCTTTTGATGGGCTCCAGCTGTCCTTTACTGCCATGTTTCGGACGGGCGAATGCAACGTCCTGCAGACCTGGGTGCAATTTGGAGCTAGTCTCTGGGCTGGGTATCGCCTTTTCCTGTTGGGGCCCCCAGCACACTTTCAATTGCAACAGTTTGGGGCACCCAACAGCGCCGTCCATGCTGGGTTTTCTCCCTAAACGTCAATGCTATATCCTTGGCAACGGCCTTCTTACATGCCCATTAAAGGGTCCTCCGCGTTGAATACTTGTGAAGTTTTTTTTGGGGGTCTGGTAGACACATTGTCAATTATACACCAGGCTGGGGTATTGCTGGTCGGCTTTCAACCTGACTTCCATTTTTTAAGATTAAGAATAACCTTCTTTCTCATACAAAGATTGCTTTTATACTTCGTTATCCAATTTTGCTTGGTTTTAAACAAAATCACCACAACTTGTGGTTTGTTCCCTGTCTTGCCTCTGACACACCCCCAAGACATAGTCCTCCGTCCAACCCTGCAAAGCACCGACTAAGACGAAGAGCAAGGTTTTTTTTTTTGCTGAGTAAAAGTGTTTTGCTACCTACTGACCGAATGACTCTTTAGAGAGAGAAAGAGACAGATAGAAAGATAGATGGATAGGTAGGTAGGTAGATAGGTAAATAGACAGATAGACAGATAGATACAAACAGAGATAGACAGATAGACAGAGAGACGGATAGACAGACAGACAGATAGACACAGACAAATCGATAGATAGACGCATAGACACATAGACACATAGACAGAGAGACAGAGAGACAGAGAGACAGAGAGACAGAGAGACAGAGAGACAGAGACAGAGAGACAGAAAGACAGAGAGACAGAGAGACAGAGAGACAGAGAGACAGAGAGACAGAGAGACAGAGAGACAGACAGACAGACAGACAGACAGATAGACAGATAGAGAGATAGATACAGTAGATAGATAGATAGATAGACAGATAGACAGATAGATAATAAAACAGATAGATAATAAAACAAATAGATAATAAAACAGATGGATAATAATACAGATGGATAATAAAACAGATGGATAATAAAACAGATAGACACATAGACAGATAGATAGATAGATAGATAGATAGATAGATAGATAGATTAGATTAGATTAGATTAGATCAGATCAGATCAGATCAGATCAGATCAGATTAGATTATATTTAGATTTAGATTAGCTTAGATTAGATTAGAAAGATAGATAGATAGATAGATAGACAGATAGACAGATAGACAGATAGACAGACAGACAGACAGACACACAAACAGACAAACAGACAAACAGACAAACAAACAGACAGATAGATAGATAATGATACTGATAGATAATGATAGATAGACAGGCAGACAGATAGACAGATTGATAGACAGGTAGACAGATAGACAGACAGACAGACAGATAGATAGATAGATAGACAGGCAGACAGATAGACAGATAGACAGACAGACAGACAGACAGATAGATAGACCATACAGATAGACAGATAGACAGACAGACACACAGACGGATAGACAGATAGACTAATAGACAAATAGACAGATAGACAGATAGACAGATAGGCTAGACAGATAGACTAGACAGATAGACTAGACAGATAGACTGGACAGATAGATTAGACAGATAGATAGAAAGACAGACAGATAGACAGATAGATAGATAGATAGATAGGTAGATAGATAGATAAATAGATAGATAGATAGATTAGATGGATAGATGGAGAGATGGAGAGATGGAGAGATAGACAAACAGATAGACAGATAGACAGATAGACAGATAGACAGATAGATAGACATATAGACATATAGACATATAGACATATAGACATATAGACATATAAGGACATATAGACATACAAACATATAGACATATAGACATATAGGCATATAGACAGGCATATAATATAGATAGATAGGAAGGTAGATAGATAGGTAAGTAGATAGTTAGGTAGGGAGGTAGGCAGCTCGATTTTTATAAATGGACATAGAATTCAAATATGTTCTCCTCCCATACGTGGAGTCAAGTGGATGTTGAATCCATGTTCGCTCCTCAATATGACAGAAATCCTGTGTTTTCACATGTTTTGAGGATGCTCCAGTCTCAGTTTTAGTGCGAGTTCCATTGTGTTCTACGAAAATGTGTGTGTCTTCATCCTTTCAGTGATGTCTCACAGAGGACAAATCACAAACTACCTCAGTTTTGGTGCATTTAAACTGGCACATTGTTTGAGAAAATTGAGTGCGTAGCATCAATAGCGTGTTGTAAGTGGCTTGAGAAAGTGAAGCGCGCTGCATCAAAAGTGGGTTGCAAGTTGCTGGCGAAAAAGAAGTGGTCAGCACCAATAGAGTGATGAAAGTTGCTTGGGAAAGTTAAGAGCGTAGCATCAGGAGCGGCTTGCAAGTTGCTTGAGAAAGTGAAGTGCAACCGCATAGCATCAAGAGCGTGTTGCAAGTTTCTCGAGAAGTTACAGTAAGTGCGTCGCATCAGGAGCAGCTTGCGAATTTCTTGTGAAAGCTAAGTGCGCACCATCGAGAGCATATTGTCTTGTATGTATGAAAATTACTAGCATCAAGAGCGGGTTACAACTTGCTGGAGAAAGCAAAGAGCGTAGCATCAATAGCAGGTTGCAAGTTGCTTGAGGAAGATAAGAACGTAGCATCAAGAGTGTGTCGTAAGTTGCACATGAAGGCCCCCACCAACAACCACCCAAACACCCCCGACCCACCCCCGGCCCCCTCCCGGCCCCCTTCCTGGCCCCTCCACCCCTTCTTGGGAAGTGGAACCGAACATTGCTGCCTGCAAAACATGGGTCGAAAGGAGAAGAACAATCGCAACATGCACGAACAATTTTTCAGCCGTAGGCATAACAAACAAATAAATAATAAATATTTTAGCCTAGATTATATATCATATATGTATTCTACGAATTAAACACTATAATACAAATAAATATAATATAAAATATAAATATAATATACTATGTAAATATGAAAGTATCTTGTCTGACGATATCACTAGCCGCCTTCGTCCACGGAGGCAAATCCGGTAAAAGGTGGGCTGTGGCCGCTGGCAGCAGAATGGACTCCACAAAGATTCGTGACTTCGTGGAGTTTCGGGCGGCCTAGCAGCACTAATTTTAGCACTAAATGACTTGAACTCAGTACGTATGTTTCCATCAAGTGATATAGAAGATAATCAATTGTTGAAATCATTTGAGTCTATCCTGCGACTAGAAACAGAGTCACAATGTTAAGGCATTTCATTAGGCTCGAAACCACGTTTTACCACATCACAATCATGATAATCATGGCCTCGAGCTCATTCCAAAATATGGAGTATGATCTATGATATTATGATGATATTATTAAGAACCAACTTGACCTCAAACTTACTAGTGGATGAAACTGATTCTGACAACTTATGGCACAGGATGGCATGGTCCAAGGCCATTGGTATCCGCAGCGCCTGTAGAGCGCACTTCAGACATTCAAATCCATGGTGGACACTCCTCAGTGGCACTACCAATCATCCGACGCAAGCCAAATCCGCAATTTCAATCCATTTCTTCTTGTTTCCTTCGTTGAGCCAACGAACAAAATGAGGCCAACTGGCCAATTGCTATTTGGAAACTATGAAACTGAAACTCAAACAGAAATGTTTACATTACACTTGATTTCCCCACGTTTGTTCACTAAACTTTGCCATCACATGGAAGTTTCCTAAAATGGGGGGTCCCCCCGAATCATGGAGGCTTATTAGAGGAGTTTCCCATGGAAATAAACCCATCCAGCCATTGGGGTACCATAAATTGAAGAAACCTCCACAGAGGTGTCTGGGATCCCCCGCACCGCACATGGCAATCCTTTCACCGCATTCGCACGGCGTCTCAACGTCCGAGGTCCAACTTGCAGAGCTTCACAGGCGCCGAAGGTCTGAAGATGCGCCTGCCGACGGCGATCTGATGCAGATATGATCCCTGCCAAGGGCAGGCCACCTTATCTTGATCCAAAAAGAAACCTCGGTTTAGTATGGTTTAGATTGGTCTAGTATACATTATCTATATATTGGAATATCTACCATCATTTGAATCCAGCGGGCTGAACAAACATCAATGTCTTCAATGCTGTTTTTGGAATCTACAAAGCGAAGCGGACCCACCACCCGCTTCGAGGTACGAACGTAAAGCGGCGATTTAACAAATTTAACCATTAACGATAAGCTAAGCCGCGTCCTAGAAAGACATGGCTCAACGCGCAGCAGATGTCGTGGAAACCGGGATTTTATATGATTTGATGTTGGGGAAAAGGAAGAAACGTTACAAAGATCATCTGGATTACCCTCTGGTAGTTTAACAGTTTCCTATTGAACATGACCATTTATAGTTGATATTCCCATTAAAAATTGTGATGTTCCATAGTTTTTTGTATGTTTACCAGAGGGTGACAGATTAATACCTGAATATTCTGTGAACTTTTTGGACTCCGGACTCCTGAGCCTGATCTAAGCAGTGCCCATGACAATCATAACTGATATTGGTGGTTGACCTACCCCTCTGAAAAATGACGGAGTTCGTCAGTTGGGATGATGACATTCCCAATATATGGAAAAATAAACATGTTCCAAACCCCCAATCAGTTTTTGTCGGTTTTTTGTTTGCTTTTCAAGCCATGGCAAGGCTTCAATGTTTTTTTCACAGCATAAATATGAAGGGTCTTAACAAAGCACGAATCAATGTACTCCCGATTACAAAGCAGGATGCAATTGAATATGTTGCCTTTTCATGCGCTCACAAGAAGCCTTTCTGCTTTCATAAAAACCACATCGAATTGAGTTCGTATAACCAATTATGACAACATCCTCCTGATCAGCCCAAGGTTTTGCGTGCAATAACAGCCCAAAAAAAGGAGCAAAAAGGCATGTGGCCCCCAATTTCTCCACATTTCTCCACGTTCCGCAGGATTTGAACCTTGGATGCCACCAACACTCGAAGCACAGCCGAGTGATACTCTTCCACATGCCGTAGGTGCTTAGGGCGATACCTGCAATCGACATGGACATTGTGCGTTTTCAAGGTGTAGCCCGGAAATGCCGCAGATTTCTGCGGGTTGATTCTCCCGGAAGCCATCACCTAGTCATCTGCGTATCCCAAAAACTAGCACCAATTGCTCTTTTGGTGTGTGACATACCAAAGTTTCGCATCTGGTTATGACTAACATAGCCATGGGAAAATCACCATGCTATTAAGTTCGGTAAACCATCTATTTCTATGGACCATCTATACTATGGCGAACTGTTAAATACCCAGATTTAAACATCAACAGCCCATTGACCAAGGGATTTTTTGGGACTTTGCCACCGATTGCAGCAGAATGGCAGAGCAATGCGGGGATCTCTGAGGTTCTTGATGGGCGTCATGGACGTCACTGATGCAATACATCCCGCTACCAAACCAGCTAAAGCAGCAACCACCTCGGCATGGCTCAAACCGCCAGTTGAACGTTTAACACATGAAACGTTGCAACGTAGCTAGCATTGGATTGTTGATGATTTCTGTGCAGCAAACTGAAAGAGAAACTAATATATCAATATACGACATCTATCAGAACTTTTGAATATGTGCATCCATATTCAAAATATCTGATAGAGAAACTAATATATCAATTTGGAATAAAACGATGCTATATAGTTGATGCACTGCAAGTCTCTCTGAAGTACCCAATTGGTACTTCCAAAATGGGAGCCCCGAGGCACGGCAATGAACGTGCAGAGGGGGAAAGAAAACTGACAGTTGCTAGGGTAGCAAAGCCAGGAGTAAGAGGCAGAAGGCCAACCAGACAACACGACGTTTGACGAGGGGAAGCTGGCTGCCCTGCCAAAAAAGACCCGAGCTAAGGTGGAAGGGTTCTAATCACGAAGCTGAACGGGAAAAAATCACGCCAGTGTGAAACCGGCAGGCCGCATCATCGTCATTGGGCTCAATGGCTCTCCGGGCTTTGAGTTTGGATGCATCTATATTAATCTCTACATCGAATTAATGCATCGAGTTATCCACACCGAGCGGAATCCAACCAACCCGATGACCGGAGAGAACCGATCCATGCATGTCATACAACGTTGAGCTCCAACATCAGCAGTAACAGATATTAAAACACAATAAAAAGTGTAGATACACATTATATCCATGAGATCGATATAGATGAGATGACGAGATGAGAAGAGATGAAATGAGAAGGACATCTCAAGAAAAACATATGAAGAGAAAGAGATGAGAAAAAGAACGAAAAGAAAGAGAAGTCAGATGACTCAGACCGCAAGAAATTGTTTCTGAAGCGGACTCGGGTTTTTTCACATCCTACAGGAACATTTTTTGTTTTTTGCCTTATAGCTTTTATAATTTTGAAACTTCCGCCCTTGGCCGTTTCAATGCCGTGAGCTAGTTGTGATATGCGAGCTGATTTAGGAATTTGGGCCTCTCTGACAATAAGGTATACCATTGGATACCCCCAAATCTTGCATAGTTCAATATAGTTCAATGAAAGTTATGAGTAGCCATCCAATTTTGGTGTAGCCATGTGTAGCCTATTTTCAGACGAAGCCGTTTTTGTTGACTTTGCAACTTTGGGAGACTCAGATGATTCGAGCGACCAGATTTTTCCTTCGCACATATGGCGCCATAGTCTACAGGCAGACCATGGCATCGACGGGTTCATTTCAGGTTCCTGCAAACCGGAACTTGCAAACAATGCTGAGGTCCAATTCCAGATACATCCAAGTGCTTCACATATCGGGGTCCTGCATTTTTTGCAATGTTGCTCTAATAACAATTTGATTGCAATTCAGAATTCACATTCATGGTGGCCCACTGCAACTTTGAAGTGTGGTCTTTTTCCAGGGTGAACGAAGATTAGTTTGAAACATCATCAACGGATCGGCAGGGCCTGCTGGCTATGCTGGCTGTTCCTGTTTGATGGACGATGCTGTCAGCCATGATGCTGCGAATTTAAGCGAACAACCATGCCTATAATGTGGGGCCCCCTAGTTGTACGTTGGTTTATAAACCCCATTATCTATATATAGATATATCTACCATAAACCATACGTAAACTATGCTAGTTATAAACCAACTTAGCTATCAAACAGGGTCCCCACATTGTACATTGCCAACAACTTAGTTTGTGGAACAAAACTTCTTATTGGAATTACGTACCTTCCATGAGTAGAAGCAAGCCCGAATCCAGTGATATCCAGTGTGTCTCTGCACAGAAACAAAGGAGGCGCGGTGACCTGCAATATGCAATCTTTCAGCACGTGCCATGCTGTGTCTCCGAGCCCAGTTTTCAGGAGCAAAAGTCATATTTCTACCAAATCCAAAAAATCATGCTTGCAAATCAAAAAAAAACATGGTGAAAACTCTGCAAGCCAAAAGAAGCACTTTCCGAAATGCCAACACCGTTTCTGAAACGTTCTTCTCTGTAGCAAAATTGCCACAAGATGTGCTGGCAATCAGGCGCCCTGAGTTTCCCGAGCATTTGGAATGCCAGACAGCCATGGGCGATCGTAGATGCCTTGAATAGCTCGGGTCGAAAATATCACCAATTGGTGTGCCATTTACCCTCCAAATGAACAGTTCAACCCTGGCAGTCATCTGGGTTGGAAGATTCGTTTCCATTAAAACTGCGCTATTTTCAGGGTTTTAATTTACCGGGTAAATCATTTGACTGGAGAAAATGATGAACCATGAAGCTTCATGAGATTTTTGTTGGCTCGATTCCATCCCGGATGGATGGCTTGAAGCCTCTGACCTCAATCTGTGGAGTCAAAACACTGGTGAATATCAAAGTATACCTGGTAGATGGATCTTCATTCCCTGAAACGATGAGGTATCATAGATGTATCTATACATGGGGGGTTCAATAAATGGCGGATCCCCAATAGCTGGATGGTTTATAATGAAAAATCCCAAATAACAAATGGATGATTTAGGGGTACACCGTACACCTATTTAGGAATCCATTTACCATCTGGTGATTTAACAGTTCGCCATGGAAAATCACCATAGAAATAGATGGTTTACCATGGTTTACCTATTAATAGCATGATGATTTTCCATGGCAAACTGTTAGTCATAATCAGAGGGTAAGGCCAAAAACAAAAAATGTTCCTGTAGCACCGTAAGATGTGAAAAAAACCGACTCCGCTGTAGGAAATTTTAGGAATCCATTGAGATTTGTCATTACTCATCCATAGCCTGTGGCTGAAAGCTCCTCGATGGGATCCTCCGAAGTGCCTGAAAAAGCAGAGCGGATGCCTGTCCCCGAACTGCAAAACCGTGCTTTGAAAAAAAAGCCCATGGAGTGAAAAAAAATCGTTGGCTCAGCTGGGAAACTTAAAGGAAACCAGGGGAACCCTGACCACCATAGAACTTCCATGAACTTCCCGCAATTGTTCTCTTGAACCAATTCTGCGAAAAGGAAATTGCAACAGACCATCAATTGATGTTTTGCAGAGTCTGACGTGTAATCGAGCAGCCCGGCTGCTTCTGTGTCAAAATATGGTTGCACGACAGTCGGAACAGGTTAACATTCTAACTGTTGTGAACAAATCTGTAAGTAAGAATTCAAACAACCGGGTGCAGTAGAAGGACAATAAAAATCGCTAGCGAAAACCCGAAGAGAAAATATCAAAACAACGCAGCTTAACATATGTGTTTATTTTTTTGATAGGGTACCCCTATCCACTCCTTAATCATCATCCCATGTATTTCCCATGTTATTTATCCCTATGAAAATGGTTCATATCGGAATGATATGGAATGATTTTCCCCCGTTTCCCACCTTCGATGGGCTTTGTTTCGAGTTGTGTCGTGAGACCCATGACACTTACGGTACTTCCGTGAGAAAATTGGAAAAATCATCAGAGATCACACAATATTAATCCATAATAATCAATATTATATCTACACTTGAAATTATGACATATCCATACTTCTCCGATGATATTCTTCATGTTGCAGATGTTTTTTGGCAACTCATTTTCCATCACTTCCCCATTTTCCAGGCGGCCAATCCCTGCACCGGACCGGGCTGACCTGAAGTGTCAGATGTCAAGCTGCTTGACACCAAGCCTGGAAAAGTGGTTGAGATCCGCACATGGAGAAGGAAATTCTGATTCTGGAGGGGAAGCTTGATGGAAATTCAGTTTACCAGTGACCTAATCTGAGTCTGGTGGTTGACCTACCCCTCTGAAAAATGATGGAGTGAAGTTAGTTGGGATTATGAACTTCCCAATATAAGGAAAGTATAGGAAAGTCATAAAATTCATGTTCCAAACCACCACTCAGTTAAAGTCAGCTTGACTGAAGCCGAACAGCTACCAACTCAACGAAAAAATCATCTGTTCACGAAGTGAATTCAAGTCACCATGTGGGATTCCATTTCAAAGTCGAAGTCTTTGAATCAAGCTCTACTATGGGTCATTAAATGTCCCCATTGAACATCACCCAACCATTAGGTATATGGTCTATAATGGCTACTATAAGCTGATGTCCAATATACCCAAAATGGGACAGTTACCAACCCCTGTTGAATCAAGCTCTAATTGACACTCTATTCCAAATGCTTGGAGTCAATAGATCTTCAATTCATTCAGTTTGAATGTGATTAAACGGTAAAGATATAGATTCACAGTCAAATCAAATAAAACCAAGTCGAAGTGAATTTGAAACCAAGTCACACACCCAAGAAGAAACATATTCATTCCCAATCTGCTCTCCGTGAATACATTAACCCAGCTTTGCAACCCAACAGCATACCTGAATCTTCCACCTACGTCTTTTTTCAGACCCTGTGCCAAAGTCCTGTTTTTTCAGTACCCAGAAAACTTTTCAGGACCTACTCTCAAATTCAGGACCTGGCCATTTTGGGGTATCAATGGTAATGGCAATCATTGGGTGCAAACATGTGAAACCAACATTTGGTGGATATTCAAGCCATTGGCATTGATCCACGCAAATAAAAGCACTCCCAGCCCAAACTCATGGCAAGGCAGGATCAGAATATAGTATATTCCAGAAAGTATGTTAGAATAGATGCCAGATAGGATGCCAGAAAGAATGTCAAATAGAATCTCAGAAAAGAATGTAAGATAGTATGTCAGAACATATACGCCACATATACGTCCAGATGATATGTCAGAAACTATGTCAGAATAGTGTGTCAGGGTGGGGATCACTCTTAGTAAGGCAATTTTGAAAATATATTTCAGGTTCGGAATTTTCAAACTGTTGTCCTTCAGGCGCCGAAGCTCCCGTTGAAGGTCAGCATCGCCCCATGTCAACTGGTCCAGTCCCACTTCCATTTCAACAAGTCCAACTTCATCGATTAGGGTGTTGGTTGAATGGACTTGGGACTCTAGCTGGCACGGCATCCCTTGTAACCCTGTAGACACTGTAGTGGGCAAAAAGATTGTAACACACAGAATCAGCATCATTTTGATCAGGCATTCTTTTTGCTAATCCTTTCTCCCTATTACGAAAAATACCTCCAAATGACAAAAACTAGGTGCGATTTCCAATTTTGGGAAATGTCAAATTGGTTAATCTGATTTTTAATTGATCCCCTTGAGGAAACAATTTTAAAAATGAAGGTACCATGTGAGGGTTTCACCCCCAAAGAATAAAAAACTAGTCAACACCGGGGTGTCTTTTATTGGGGTCCGTCCTTTAAAATCGTCAATTTTAGTTTTTTTAATTCAGGTGTTGGTGTTTTATTTGATACTAGGCGAAAGCTTCGAAATCCTATTCTTGGCAGTATTCTATTTAAAGATTATTTTCATGGATTTTGAAATTAGAAACAAAAAACGGTTTAATCCCTTCCCCCTGTTGCTAAACAGTCGCCCCTTCACCCACCCACCCAAATAACAAACACCTGGAGGAGTTTTTAGTATTGGGGGGGTCTTTAGTATTAGGGTACGAAGCTTCCCCCTAATACTGATAAAAAACACGCATACACATATATATATATATATATACATATTTCTATTTCAAAATCGATCAGATTTCTTTCTTTTTAAATCCAATTAAAATATGGCAAACAAGTGGATTCCGAAGCTTAATATCAAATAAAAACCCCCAACATAAAAAACTATGTATGTTTTTCTATTTCGAAATCGATTAGATTTCCTTTTAAAAATTAAATAAAATATGGCCAAAAAATTGGATGTCGAAGCTTTTCCCTTATATTAAACCCTAATATCATTTTGTTTTTTTCCTGTTTCAAAATCGATTAGATTTCCTTTTGAAATCTAATGAAAAAAACAAAATTGATTTTGAAGCTTTCCCCTAATATCAAATTAAAATCCAATTATTAAAATATGTTCAAAACTTGGATTTCGATGCTTCCCCTAATCTTGCATGAAAAATTCCAATATAAAAAACTAAATTTGTTCTATTTCAGAATCGATTAGATTTCCTTGTAAATTCAAATTAAGATATTGCCAGAAATTGGATTTCGAAGCTTTCCCCTCATATTAAACCCTCATATCAAAGACTATTTTTTCTATATCAAAATTCATTAGATTTCCTTTTGAAATCTAATTAGAATATGGTCAAAAATTGGATTTTGAAGTTTTCCCCTAATATTACATTAAAAAACCCTAATATAAAATATTATTTTTTCTTTTTTGAAATCGATTCGATTTCCTTTTAAATTGTAGTAACAAAAATAAAAACAAAAACCGGATTTCGAAATGTTTCCTCTAATATTAAATTACCAGCCCTAATATATTTTAAAAAAAAACTGTTTCAAAATCGATTAGTTTTCTGTTTAACATATAATTAAGATATTGCTAAAAATTGGATTTCGAAGTTTTCCCCTAAGATTAAATTAAAAACACTAATAAAAAAAAAAAAACTATGTTTTTTCGATTTCAAGAATCGATTAGATTTCCTTTTGACATCCAGCAAAAATATTGCCAGGAAATGCCAAAAATTGGATTTCGAAGTTTTCCCCCAATATTATATAAACGTTGTAATATAAAATACTTATTTTTTCGACCTTAAAAGACCCTAGTTTAAAAAATCACCGGGGCTGACTAGTTTTTATTTTTTGGTGGTGAAAGCCTGAAATGGGACCTTCATGTTTAATTTGTTTTTGAAAAGGTATCAATTAAAAGTCAAACTGGCCAGCCTGAAATTTCCCAAAATTTAACGCGGACCCTAGTAAAAGGAATCAATGTAATATTTTAGTATTTAGGGTACGTTTAGTAAAAGGAGGTGGGGATTAGTAAGGTTTTCAATTTAATATAAGGGGAAGCTTCGAAATCCAATTTGGCAAGATTTGAGTTAGATTTTGAATAGGAATTCAATCGGTTTTGAAATATAAAGTTCATTTTTTAAAACGAATGTTTTCAATTTAATGTCAGGGGGAAGCTTCGGAATCCAATTTTGGCAATATTTTAGTTAGATGTTATTTTAAAAATGTTTTCCATTTTAAATTTTTAACCAAGGGGGAAGTTTCGCACCCTCATACTAAATACCCACTAAATACAAAAAACTATTCCGTGTGTTCATTATTGGGTGGGGAGGGGCAGACGGTTTATTATGACGCAGGGATTGGTCAGGCATCACTTGCTGGAATTATTGGATTCTTTTGGGATGATTGGTATGATGTTTAGTCAGGCATGGTTCCCTTCAGTCATGCACGATTTTTGCAAAAATCCTATTTAGGCACGACCCCAAAATCCCAGCCCGGCAAATTCCGGCCCGGGCCCGGCAAATTCCGGCCCGCGCCCTGCAAATTCCGGCCCTGCGTTTTTCCAAAATCAGGCAAAACCAGTAAATCAGGTATTAAGTCAGGTGTAGTTACCTTTTAAGTCATTAAGGCTAGTCAGGCATGGTTCCAGTGGGTACCTTTTAATTGTGAAGGCTAGTCAGGCATGGTTCCCTGAATTCAGGGGCATGGGTACCTTTTAATTATGAAGGCTAGTCAGGCATGGGTTCTGTTAAGTCAGGCGTGGGTGGGTACCTCTTAATTATGAAGGCTAGTCAGGCATGGTTCCCTTAAGTCGGGTGTGGTTACGCTTTAAGTCATGAAGGCTAGTCAGGCATGGGTACCTTTTAAGTGATGAAATCTGAATCAGGCGGAGCTCCTATTCTAAATGTGTTAAATCCAATTGTTCAGTGTGGAAAATCGATTTTTTGGCTGGTCTACGGGCAAACCCTGTGTCTTCCAATACCATAGCGTGCTGATGTCGCTTGCCTGCATAATAGTTAAGGCCAAAGCTTAGGTCATCAGTGTGATCCTGAAATGGCGCCACGACCAAGATGACATGTGTAAAATGGGCCCTGGATTAACAAAGGCTGACTAATGAATTTGGAGGATGCCACTAAAGTATGACATGTAATCACTTTTGAGGAGCACTCTATGGCACGCAGCGCGCGCAGCCTGCTTTACGGTTTAGCGCTTGAAAGTTTTAGGCTTTGCCTCTATGGCACGCAGCGTTTGAAAGTTTAACCGTTTACCTCTATGGCAGGCTGTGCGCGCAGTACGCGTTACGGTTTAAAGTTTGAAAGTTTTAGGGTTTATGTGTGTGGCACGCAGTGCGCGCAGCGCGCATTAGGGTTTAGGGTTTGGAAGTTTTATAGTCTATTTTATTGCATGCAGCGTGCACAGCGTGGGTTGAACTTTAGGGTTTCGAAGTTTTAGGGTTAACCTCCATGACACGATGGTTTAGGGTTTGGAGATTTGAAGGGGTACTTCTATGGCACACAGCGCGCGCAGCGCGCGCTAGGGTTTAGGGTTTAGGGTTTGGAAATTTTAGGGTTTACCTCTATGACACGAGAGTTTCAGGTTTGAAGATTTTAGGGTTTATTTCTATTGCACAAAGCGCGCGCAGCGCGCATTAGTGTTTAGGGTTTGAAGGTTTTAGGGTTTATCTCTGGCACGCAGCGCGCACAGCACGCATTAGGGTTTAGGGTTTGGAAGTTTTAGGGTTTATTTTATTGCATGCAGCGCGCACACCGCGGGTTAAACTTTAGGGTTTGGAAGTTGCATAACACGATGGTTTAGGGTTTGGAAATTTTAGGGTTTACTTCTCTGGGACACAGCGCGCGCACCGCGCATTAGGGTTTAGGGTTTGGAAGTTTTAGGGTTTACTTTATTGCATGCAGCGCGCGCAGCGCGCATAGAGTTTAGGGTTTGGAAGTTTTAGGGTTTCAAGGGTTCCAAGGTTCCAGGGTACCAGGGTCCCACGGTTTCAGGGTTCCAAGGTTTCCAGGGTTCCAAGGGTTCCAAGGGTTCCAGGGTTTCAGGGTTCCAGGATCCCAGCAGGGTGCCAGGTGTGCAGGGTTGCAGGGTTCCAAGGTTCCAGGGTTCCAAGGTAGCAGGGTTCCAGAATCCTTGAGGGTTCCAGGGTGCCAAGGTTCCAAGGTTTCAGGGTTCCACGGTCGCAGGGTTCCAAGGTTCCAGGGTTTCAGGGTTCCAGGGTTCCGGGGTTCCAGGGTTCCAGGGTTCCAGGGTTCCGGGGTTCCAAGGTTTCAGGGTTCCAGGGTTCCAGGGTACCAGGGTCCCACGGTTTCAGGGTTCCAAGGTTCCAGGGTTCCAAGGGTTCCAAGGGTTCCAGGGTTTCAGGGTTCCAGGATCCCAGCAGGGTGCCAGGTGTGCAGGGTTGCAGGGTTCCAAGGTTCCAGGGTTCCAAGGTTGCAGGGTTCCAGAATCCTTGAGGGTTCCAGGGTGCCAAGGTTCCAAGGTTTCAGGGTTCCACGGTCGCAGGGTTCCAAGGTTCCAGGGTTTCAGGGTTCCAGGGTTCCGGGGTTCCAGGGTTCCAGGGTTCCAGGGTTCCGGGGTTCCAAGGTTTCAGGGTTCCAGGGTTCCAGGGTTCCAGGGTTCCGGGGTTCCAAGGTTTCAGGGTTCCAGGGTTCCAGGGTTCATTCCGGATTTTGAAGGCTGCAAGTCCCCGCGAGCCAGCCCCAGCCCTAGAGATTGAAACCCAACAGGCCCTGCTGTTGGGAATTTCTCAAGTACTCAAAAAGCTCTGGCTTTACCTTACGGTCACTTGACTATCTCTATGGGGTAAAGTATGGCAGTTGTTAATCACACTTCAAACAGGAGGATCATTGACCCGTACATTCGAACAACCAAAATTACACTGGAAACCTGTAAAGCTAAGCTTCCTTCGAAAACCCTAGATGCTTAGAGAAACAATACAGTTACTGGATGCAACTGTTGGATACTCTTTGGGAGGTCACTCCCTGCTTGGGATCACGGGTCCACAAAGCCTGGTGATGGCAGGGAATGGCATTCACCTGGCTGGTTGGGCTGCCGAAGGAGAAAGTGAGAAAGACATCCATTGACAAGTTCCACTTTCAGAGTCAAGCCTATCGTGTGCTTTCTCCAAGAAATGTGGGCAGCGGGCATGAGTTGAAAACAACACTGCTATACCCATCTACTAAGAACGAATCATGTGTATCAGTGTATCCATAAAGAAACAGGCGTGCCTGCCACATGGATCCTATCCTATGTATTCAGTTCCCGAGACAGATTCATCAACCCCAAGAATTCGTACACCAACTTTCGTCGCTTTTTCCCCTGATTTGCTAAATCTGACGTTCATTGGTCTTCTGTGGCAACTGCTTTCGATCATGCCTCCCAACCAACCAAAGCAAAGAGGGTAGAATTGAAACAGGCGGACACAGAAATAAAATGAAATAAACAGAATTGTTTGCAGCCCCAAAATCAAGGTTCTAATTTCGGGGCCCTCAATTCCCATTCAACTTCATTCTAGTTTAGGTTCCACTTCAACGTCAAGTGGAAGTGCTTAGAGCCAATTCTGGTGTATTTCAATTCCGATTATTCAAAGTCAGTTTATTATAGTTTGAATTCACTGTAAAGTCGAGTTGAATTCAAATTTCAAGTAAGTCAGTTCAACATTCAAATTCAAAAGTTTAGTTCAAATTCAAAGTCAAGTTTAGTTCAAATTCAATTGAAAGTGAAATCGATTAAAGTCCAAGAAACCTTAGAATCAATTCGGTTATCCTCTGGTTATTTAACATAGCTATTGAAAATGACAATTTTTAATGGGACAATCCACTATAAATGGCCCATTTTCCATGGCTATGTTAAATAACCAGAGGGTATATGAAGTTATATTCAGTTTTCATTCCATTCCCAGAGAGTTCTCCATGAATACATCTCTCAAAAACCAAGAAAGCTTTGCCTGACTACACGTTGAGGGCCCCAAGAGGTTTTCGTTCTCAACTTCGCCGAGCGAAAAATTCTGGCTGCTGATGTAGACACGAAATCAACTCTCCGACTCAGAGAACTATTTGGGGGATTCCAGAAATGGTGGTACCCATAAAAGGGATAGTGTATAATGGAAAATCCTATTAAAATGATTTAAAATTGATGATTTGGGGGTACCCCCATTTCAGGAAACCTCCATTTAAGCTTTCACCATGTTCCAACACCAAAACCACATAAAACCACCATCCCAGTCAGCCACCAGGGCTCTTTTAGAGAGCCGGGGCCTGCAGACATGGCGCCCCAACCTCAGTACAAGAAACCGGTTGAAAGCTGAAAATCAAAGTCAGTGCCACAGTGCCGATCTCATTTCCCGACAGCATTTTTGACCATTCATCTCAGGCGGAAAACCGGACACAAAGCTACGTCCTTTTCAATAATGTATCATAATGTTGAAATCTTTCAAGCGCATCCGATGGGCTTTCCTGCTTCAGCAAACATCGGCCTTGGCATCCCACCATTTCTGAAACAACTGCAGAAGTTGTGGCTGTGAATCCGGGCATTTGTCCTTAAGACCTTCAACAGTGAGGTCCCAAGGCTTCCAGTCAGCGATGAAATGAACCATAGCAGCCTTCTCCATGATCCACTCAGGGCCCTTTCCAAATTCTTTCTGCCAGTACTGGTACATGCCGTCACTGGCACACCATTCTCCAATCAGTAGGGCATAGAATCCGTCCAACATATCGACGCGATCACGAAAGTGCAAATTGACCCAATCCATTTCACTGCCAATCTGTCCAACTGATGCATTCATTGGATCAAAGAAGTCCTTCTGATAGAAGACTTTCCGAGGATCAATGACCATGGGGCCTCCGCTTTGTACGTATGGTTGGTCTAGCCAGTATGCACGGGGAGCCGCAATCTCCACAGGGAACTTGGCAATATCGAACAAGTTCTCCAAACTGCCCAAAGGGAAAGCATCTGCGTCGAAGTAAATCACTCGATTGTACTGGAAGAGTTCAGCTACTCTGAGCTTCAGAAAGGACTCGCCCCATTGCCAAGAGCCTTTGGACATAGCTTCTTTAACGTGGATCAATTTGATCCCAAGCTTTGCAAAGCGTGGCTTTTCAGGAACGTCCTGGTTGTAGACTACCACCAAGTCGGCATTGTGTCGGTGCTGATGCTTTGACACTGCGGAAGCAGCCACCAGAATTGCACAAGCTACGTTGCTATCACTGTCTGCTAGGTACCAAACATACCTGGTCACTGATTTTGACTGAACAAACATGCTATAGATGTATCGTTAACCAATCAATTGCCCGCTGACAAGGCACCTAACATTCTATTTTACTGTGTTTTTTGGTTAAATATGTTTATATTCCCACCAGCGGGTCGAAAAACAATGCAAGGATGCTACCCAGAGACGCAACTTTGGATGCGGACACATGTTGCTGTAAAAGAACGGGCGATTTGCACTGCTGCCCATCCATTGTTTTCCCTTCGACAGGGACAGGGGGCACCCATGATCCGTGCTGCTCAGCGCAGGCTGAGAAAAGAAATGCAAAGAAGCATTTTGGCAAGGAGCCAAGGCATTTCATGTGAGTAAGGTGGTGGCCTAGACGAGCCTAGCATGTAGAGGAGCTCACTTGAGCCAAAAGCACTGAAGCAATCTGAACCAAATCTGTGTCATCCAAGAGCTACTCAAAGTTGCTGCGAACATAGCAGTCGGGTTGGGGGCTATCCAAGAAATCGATGCAGAATTCATCGTGCAGGTTGTGCGTGACCGACATGCAGTATTGCAACTTGATCAGTCAGAGGCTCTGACATTGAGGCTTCAGGAAAGATTTGTAACCATCATCGATTCATGAAGTCTATGAATACTTTTGTGGGTTGTGTGTGTATGCCTGACGACTAGTCGGGTTCTGCACACTGTTTGACACTGTGCCTTATAATTGCACTTCATTGTGGCCTACTTGTAAATACTGTTTTTGTTGACGCATCGAACCTAAACCAGCATACAGCAAGTCAAGCATGAAAACGCGCTTTCCTAACCACGAAAGTAAGTACGAGTACAGAACACCATGTATACACCATGTATACGGTGCCATACGATGTGTTGAATTGCTGTTTTTTGGCTCATAATTAAGTGACATACAGAAGCGGCGGCAGCATAAAGAATTCACGCACAGGAAACCATCCAAACACTTGTTCAACATGGGTTTGGGATGCTCCCGTTTGAGATTGCGAGCTACCAACCTGAGAAATAGAAGTATATAATATATATATATATATACATACATACATAATACATACATACTCTACCTCCTCAATACCCAACTAATCTATACATGTATATGTACATTATGGTAGGGATGTGGTTATTATGTGTATATATATATATGTGTGTATGCGTGTGTATACATATATATATAGGTATACCCATATGATGTATGATCAATAATATACATAGTCTGTTGAGTCTGTTGTGTATATTATTATATATAGTTGTTATATATTGTTATATAATATGTAGTTCTGTTGTATACATACATGGCGATGTTCATCTATTCTTATGCATACATATATGTATATATATATATATTGACTATAACTAGTAGACATATAATGTGTGTATACATCATAATCAATAGATGTAACAGTGTATAAACATGTATATTATATATGTTGTACATAATACATACAAGATGACTATATATATATATATACAAGTTATATCTACATTTATGTACATGTATTCACTGAAGCGTCCAACACATGCTGGCGCCCTTGAGATTCGACTGAAGAAGTCGAACTGCATTGAAATTGTTGATGTTCTACAACAATATTGCCAAAAAAAAAGCTTTCAAAAATGGATTCTAGCTAAGGATACATCCAGGATACCAGATCGTCAATCTCAGCCTCGTGCCGATGCATGTTTTGAATATCCCATCATCTCTACCTAACTCTATCCCAAGCCCTTCGACTTTCATTCTTCATCGGACTGTCAATTTGGAGCGCTCTCACTTGCTCGAGGCTTCTCGTTTTCGTGTCTGCTTTCGCTCCTGCATTTTGGCAGGTCATTCCTTCTAAAATGTCTATAGATCTCTCGTGTAATGGCATCGTTTAAACACGTTGCCACTCCAACAATTAGCTCCAGCAGCGAAAGGAAGCAATCTGGTTGTTGTTTCGATTTCAAAGGTTGAAGGATGACAAAAGACTAATTAAAGAACGTAGATAAGATTGCAAAGCTCTCGAGTTGAACCCCAAGTTCAAAAAAGGAACTTCCTATACCTGGTTGGTGGTTTCTTTCCCATCTTGAAAAATATTAGTCACTAGTCAATGGGAAGGATGACAATTCCATCCCAGATATGATTTCTGGAAAATAAAAAATCAGATACATTATCTATATCCCATAGGATCCATGTATGATATACATGCTAACATTTACCATCAATATACCCCCAATGTTAGCATATATACCATACATGGATCCTATATGATCCTATGGGATATGGTTGGTGCTTTCATATCTTTCATATCTGCACCAAGCAGATACAGATCTTTATAGGATGACTATGACTGTTCTTACAGCAGATCCCTTTTGGTTGATCGAGAATCCAAGAAGTTGAAAACATGACGCCGGCCGCATGTTGAGAGTATAATGCATGTTTGTACTTTCTTAATGGGACATGTATAAAATCATATGGTGTATATGTATATATATATACCCTCTGGTAAACTAACATAACTATGGAAAATCACCATTTTCAATAGCTACGTTAAATTACCAGAGGGTAACATCATTACATCGATGGATCCCATGAATTTTCATGTTTCGACCTGTTCGCTGCAACATGCTGCAAGCCCTACGTTTGCCCACCACCGACCCCGCATATTCTTTGACATGTTCAAATTGGCAGTGCCAGCTTTTCAAAACAATACACCCTAAAATACCTCGAAACCCTGAACTCTAAAGCCCTAAAACATCCTAAACCCTAAATCCTGACACATCCTGAAACCTCAAGTCAAGTTTTCATCCTCTTAAATGACAAGTATCTGATATTGCCATGGTGTATTCTGATGGCGCGGGCAGCAGCTGCCTTATCCATCCAACTTCACCAGGTTTTCCACGTCCCAGCAGCCAGCCGAAGCCGATCCCTGTGGACCTGTTGAGCATCGCGTCAGGCGTCAGATTTTGGGGAAAAAATATGGGACTTCAGTCTGTGTTGACAGAAATTTCAGGAGAACAGCATAGAATAGAAGATCTATATGGGTGTGTCTGAAAATAGTGTACCCCTAAACCCAATGGTTTTGCTGATCATTATCCCTATTAAATGGCTATTTGTTTGGGAATATACCCTATTTTCAGACAAACCCATATACCCTCTGGTAAACAAACATAGCTATGGAAAATGGCCATTTATAGAATAATTTACCCATGAAAAATAGTGATTTTCCATAGCTATGTTAGTTGACCAGAGGGTAATCGAACACAACATAAGAATTTTGAAGAACGTAGAACAACGACCAGTCAGTGCATGTCGAAGCACAATGGAATTGCCAGCATGCAAAAGATTAGCTCTGAAACGTGGAACTACACGCATCGCATCGCATTGCTTTCAGGAAGCTGAATTAAAATGAGAAGAACTGTGGTGATATAATTTGCTGTGTTCAAGCTTGACTGTAGTGAAGATAGTGAAGTATGTGTTGCGGTTTCACGGTCCACATCGCGTCGTGCGTTTGAAACTACCATGAATGAGTGTTCCTCAACTCGGGTACGAACCATGAAGTCAGAGCCTGCGATCAATTCCAAAGAGTTATTCCTCTGCCCCAGCCGATTCGGCGACCCCTTTCGCACCGTTTTTCTCCTCTATCCCTCAGGCCCTGTCTCAGAATGAGCGTCTTCTCGTGGGGATGTGTTCTCCGCAGATTCTTCCTGCCCCATTGGAACACAACCTGGTTGGTGGTTTCTTTCCCATCTTGAAAAATATTAGTCACTAGTCAATGGGAAGGATGACATCCCATATATTATGGAAAATATTCAGAAAAATTGAAACCACCAATCAGCAACCATCAGTGCAGAGCTGAATCTGACACAAGTCATGAAGCAAACTGACTCTTCTCTGTGCCAAGTGAAGGATTCATGGAGGGATTGGAGGATGGGACGATCTACACCATTGTAGCAGCGTAGCACTTCGTCAAGCAATTCCAAGCCTGATGAATTCACTGATGAATGCACCGATCACTGTCAGAAAAAGCCACCATGATCATCCATTGTCATCCATGATCAATGATAACTCACGATCTCCAACATTTTAAGCGTTTACTCACCCAGCCCGGCCCTAGCTTTTCCATTCCCAGTGGTTTACCAAGTTGACTCGCCTGGTCACTCTCCGACACTGTCGCGCAGTTCTCAAATTCCTCCGAGGCTTTCTGAAGGTGACACTCGTAGAGTCCACCTGGAACGGGGCGTTGTGGTACACCGAAAATAGAAAAAACGGTTAAAATCACCAGCTTGGTTGTATTTAATCATTCTAAACCCATCCCCCAAGCAGGACGGCATTGGGTTTCATGATTTCAATTTTGGGCTTCATCCAGACCTTGCCCGTACCTTGGATATCTCAGGATCCTCCGTTTGGTCAAAACGTTTGCGCATTCCAGTCAACGTGGCAAAACGCCAGAAGTACGATAAACGTAGGTAAAAATATATAAGTTTTGGACATATTTTAGGCTCAAGCCTCATGATTTTACTTTGGTACATAAGTATAGAAGTGCGATGTGTGCATTTCAAAATTTGATATTATATGTAAATGTTGATAGGTTGTTTAAATTTATCTTTTGAACATAAATTCATATACATGATACAATTTGAATTACCCTCTGGTAATTTAACATAGCTATTAAAAATGACCATTTATAGTTGATTTACCCATTAAAAATTGCGATTTTCCATAGCTATGTTAGTTTACCAGAGGGTAGTTTGATTCTCCAGTCTTCTCAACATTTTCTTGATTAATGGGAGGTGGACTGTTTTCAGCATCAACGATGCAGCCTTCGTAATCGCGTAGAACGGCAAAACCACAAAGCACCGGGTTCACCTCAATTACCACCTGCAGCAATTCAAACTTCGACAAGCAGAGGGGACATGAGGGGACGACATGAGGGGACCACAACCATCCACAACCAAACAAAAAAAAAAACATAAGATGGGATATAACTCCCAGAAATATACCCATGGCAAATTACGCGGAACTGAACTCCCCTGTTTGTGACAAACCACTGCAATCATTCAAGCTTCAGGAACGTGTTTTTGTAAACGTCTGTGCAAAAAGCGTTTTTGTAAACTGTCCAGAGATATTACCCTCTGGTAATTTAACATAGCTATTGAAAATGGCCATTTACAGTTGATTTACCCACTAAAAATGGTGATTTTCAACAGCTATATTAGTTTACCAGAGAAACAGAAACTGTCGCAAGGCACCATGTATTCCGCATCCGATACTGACAGATCCAGTTTCAGAGGCTTCATGATATCCTTCAAGGCGGCCATGACATCTTCACGTTTGATGGTGCTCATAGCACGACTGTGAAAGGAGCAATACCATCCAGCACCTTCTCCTTAGCTTTTGCTTAGCTTGCAGGAAGCCTTGGAATTGGTGGGTGTAAGTGAAACTGCACGCATTAACCTCCGGCTATCAAACATGCCAATAGAAAATCTCTCATTTATAGATAGTTTTCTCATTAAAAGCTCTATTTAGAGGATATTTCCCATTGCAACATTTGATTACCGGATGGTATTCCATACAGCATACACAAACTGATCTTGAAGTTGAACATAGACAGTCATAGATAAACAAGTTTCATCGATTTTCAGAATCAAATCCGGCTGATCTGAGGGAGGGGTAATGGAGGACAGCGCTTCTTAAACTGTATCTGTATATGTAGTGTGCTCAAGAAACAAGTGCATTTCTACAAGTTGCAATGTGTAAAGCGATTTAAGCAACCAAAATGGTCAAACTGGCTACATGGTGAATTTTTCATGGCTTGAACCACTGCAGCAAAAGTGTCCTGTGCTCAGTTTCGCACTGGAAGCTGTCGCAGGCTTCTATTGGCAGATGTTTCGAAGTGTTGGAACAACACAGAATAGACTTCTGCGCTCAACATGACTCGCTATTCACGCATACTGACACTTCAAATCACTTCAACCTGCCCTGAGGATCCTAAATTCTCGAAAGTATGAACTATTTCCGACTATATATCCGCAAATTATTATTAACATTCAAAAATATGAACTATTTCATCCCCATGAGAGCGGTCTGAACGAGACAAGCCGCTGGCGTCTTTCAGCAACTTTGGCAGTTCCGCCGCGGCTGCTGCCTGAAAGTTCCTCGAATCATTCGTTCATCATTCGGTGCTGCGAATACGAAGAATTCGACTCAAGATGTATGGCATTCTATGGAAACAGTAACTGGTTGGTGGTTTCAACCACTCTGAAAAATATTAGTCAATGGGAAGGATTGTTCCATATATTATGGAAAAATAAAAGCCATGTTCCAAACCACCAACCAGGTAACATACATGTCCAATGTGTATGTTAATTCCTGTCTACGCAATTCTGTGCACATCTCGAGCATCTTTGAATCCGCACCGAGATGCTTCAAATGAGGCGAGCAAACCACATCCAATGGTGCCATTCCTAGGTCTGAAAAAAAAACGCTGGCGTTTTAACCACTCAACGGTCCTTGTACGCTAGGAACAACATGGAACAACTAACAAGGGATTTATCATCCACTTAAATGATTTTTGGGGCCACTTAGTGGCACTCAAACACGGTTTTTGCATGTGTTTGCTTCAATTTTGCAACAGCTGAAAAGATAGAACGTGACAGAACATTGTCTGAATGAAGCTGGTTCCAAAGCGAGGGCCAAACGAATCTAAGTTTCTGCCAGTATCTCAGTTTCTATGGCCCGTTCCAACTTACCCCAGTCAAACCATCCATTTTGTGCACTCAAGCAACACAAATAGTTTTCGATGTTCGGAGATCCAAACGCAAAGTTTGCCTAAAAAAAACTTCCTATATAAAAATTGAAATCAACAAAAATCATCAGTTTCTCCAGTTATTCTCCAAGGGTCTCACAACAAAGCGCACTGCTTGTCCTTCTCTACCTGCAGCTCGTTGTCGTTCGAAGAGGTCCACCACCAGTTGAGATGGCGCCCGTCGGCCATCCACCGAAAGAATCGTCACGCCTCGACTCACCTGATCCCATTCCGAGAAACACCCATCCCAGTAGTATCCAGTAGTTATTTCTATTGATAAAACATGTAATTATATATTATAGTCATATAACTAGGAACACGGCCTTTATCTGGCCGTGGTGTTTTTGTGATGAACGGGGTGTCATGGATGATGTTTGATGTGGTCGTGCCAATAGGATTTTGGTTGATGTGATTTCAAAGGCGAAAAACCCCTGATTCTGGTGCATAAAATCACAATCGAGCGTTTCGCCTAGGCGAAACTACCATTTTTGATGTTTCTCAGAACTCCCCAACTAATTCGACCTGTATTGTTTTGATGTGAGTTCAAAGACAAGAAACCCCCTTATTCTGGTGCATGAAATGAAAAGGCAAGTATTTCGCCTAGGCGAAAACGCATTTTTTTGTAATTCCACATGTTATGTATTGATGAAGTTGGCACAGCCTGCCAGACGACCTTGCAACCGACCTGGATTTCAACATGTTATGTATTGATGAATTTGGCACAACCCACCCCACCCATGTCTACACGCACATAACGGCACACACAGAGACGGGTCCACTTACCTAGCAAGTTCACATGAACGTTAACACATGCCCCACCCCACCCCACCCCACCCCACCC